GGTTGGTCTTGAAGAAGCAAGTTTCGCCCTCAAGCGGAGGAGCATAAGGGGCACAATCCTTCATGTTGGCTCCCGAGTTCACTTGGTCATCATAAGCTGTGTAGAAGAAAACACGCCGTTATTTCACACAAACGCACACACACACACACACACACACACACACACACACACACACACACACACACACACACACACACACACACACACACACACACACACACACACACACACATGCATGTATGTATATACACTCATACATTTCCACATATGTATCTGTGTCGACCTATATCTTTATCTTTCTACTCTTATCCCTTCCTCTCTCTGCCCCTGCCTCTCTCTATTTCTATTTTTCTATCTATCTGTCGATATATACATACATGTATATCTATACAAACATGTGAACACAACACCGTAAGTAGACTTTTGGGGTCCCTTTGGCCTCCCCCATACTGTATCTTTTTGGTTTGAAGGAAAATATATGACAAGATATAGAATATTTACTTATTTGAACTTGTGGAAATGCTTATTTTTTATACAAAAGATTTTGAAATTATTTAGAACCAAAAGATTGTAAATTTTTCTTTAATCCCAGGCAGTCATTTTTTCAACACAAAAGAAAAGAAAAGAAAAAAAAACGGAAAATGAAGTCCTCAGTCCGACTTAGATATAAAAATGGCGTGATCAACATCACTCTCAAACTCCTATTACTGCTAAATTTCGGGACATTACTTCCCTTCCCCCTTGTTACTTCCTCTCCTTTTAACTTTTTCATTATTCGTATTTCTATTTTTCAGCATAATTATCTTTACACGAACAATACATCCGAGACAAATTGACCGAAGTCTTACCTCTAAGGAAGGTCGTGAGGGCAGCGGTCACCCTCCCCAAATCGTCTGCAGAACGAAACCATACCAGCTCATCCTCGCCTAAGTCAGGCTCTAATCGAAGGCCTAAAAAAAGTAAGAAAAAAATATATATTGCAACATTTCACCAGTGCGAAGGCCTGAAAAGGAAATATTTAAATCGTTCCTCCTCAATTGGAAAGCCTAGAAAAAATCACTTATATTCGAGCGCCTAGAAAAAAAAAAAATCCAGTTTAATGCTTTACTTTACCATTCAACATTAAATGTTTCTAACATCAGAAGGCGTGGATGCATCTATTTATATACCTATATATATATATATATATATATATATATATATATATATATATATATATATATATTTGTTATAGATATTACCTACACATCTCTATATCAAATATTTTTCCCTCTTTCTTTTAAAAACTAGTACCTGGAAATGAACAAGGCAGAAAATACTACTACTACTACTAATAATAATTCTAGTAATAACAATGCAAATAAATACAAACAATACTACTAGCATTAACAATAATGATAACAATGATAATAACAACAATAATAAAAACAATAACAATAATGATAATGATAACAATAATAAAAACAATAACAACAATAATAAAAACAATAACAAAAATAATAAAAACAATAACAACAACATTAACAATAATAATAACAACAATAACAATAATATTAACAATGATAATAACAACAATAATAAAAACAATAACAACAACAATAATGATAATAATAATAACAATGACAATAACAATAATAAAACAATAACAGCAACAATGATAATAACAACAATAATAAAAACAATAACAACAACAATAACAATAATAATAACAATGATAATAACAACGATAAAAAATTACAATAACAACAAAACTCTACGGCTCTGCTCACCCGGCTTCTTTTCCAGCAGGAGGAATATGGTGGTGATGACGACGACCAGAGTCACCACCAGCATCACCACCACGCCGACGGCCATCTTCGCTACGGGGGAGAACACTAAACTTGTATTATAGTAATCCATCTTTCTCGTAAGCTCAGAAATTAGATACATAAATCTATATGTATATCAGTATATGGGATAAATCAGGTGATGTATATTCAAGAGAGAAAAAAAAATGTTATCTGGGCATTTTTTTTTTTTAATTATGAAGATGATAATTTTGAAGTTTGGTATACAGAGAAATTTCTAAAGATCGCAGTGTGGTTTCTCATTATCTATTCGATTTCCTTAAAAACTCCGACACACACACACACACACACCCACACACACACACACACACACACACACACACACACACACACACACACACACACACACACACACACACACACGCTCAAAGACATATAGACAAATAAATACTTTTTTTTTCATAAAAGGCCAACATGCAAAATTTACCTGAACAGATTTTTTTCATCGACCTGATTAATACTGGTATACGGTGAATATAATGCCGTCCACCCGTTCGTACATTGACGATTACAACGAACAAACAAGCTTCCCAAAATAGAATAATACCAAGCAATTCCATAAAAAAAGAAGAAAAAAGGACAACAAATAATAATGGACCCAGAAATCACAACACAAACATCAGACAACAAAAAACAATATAGTAAACATCCGACCAGATTCCAGACCTCCGCTCCCCCCCCCAAAAAAAAAAAAAAAAAAAAAAAAAAAAAAACAGACCTCAACATCCTTTTCCATCTCAAAAATCTCATAACTCGATACGACATCACCTGCAGGAACGAAGCCACCTTGAGATGCGCAGGTGAGCAGGTGATGGGCGCCAATAGGAAGCTATGGGTTAGGGGCAGACTGACATAGGCGCGATTGCGGTAGGGATATGGACAGCAGAACGAACGAAGTGGGCGGGAATGGGCAGCAGATCCCCTTTCTCGGCCCCCGCCCGTGAAGATGTGGGCGGTGGCAAATTGGTTCCTAAGATGCTATCGGGACCACTTACTCCATGATCGAAGACCAATTCTCTCCTCTGCTTCTCCTTCTCCTGCTCCCTCTTTCTCTCCTTGCCCTCCATTTTTCTTCTTCTTCCCCTCTTTCTTATTCTGTCTTTCATCATTCTCACTCTCATTCTCCTTGTTTCTTTTTCTTCACTGTCTCCTTTTCCTACTCTGCTCCCCTCTCTCTTCCCTGCTCTATCTCCCTTTCCCCCCTTCCTTTCCTTTTCCATTTTATTTTCTTCTCTTTAGTTCATCAATCATTATCTTGAACCTCAAAATGTTCGATTTTTCTTCCCTCTTCTAAAAAAGTCACTTTCTACTCGTTTTTGGTTTCAGTTGTTGCTCGCCAGTTATCTACTTCGACCTGAAGAAATCAAAATGTTTTCACACCAGATAAAAAAGGGGAGAAACATATATGGTAACAGCTGAACACACATTTACACCCGTTCGCGCATATCTATACATATACATGTACATTTTTATCTACCTATTCATCTCCTTATGTCTATCTGTCTTTATTTATATCAATTTCTATATGTTTATATCTCTTTTTCTGTCTACCTTTCTATTTACATATCTATCTAATTTTTCTGTTTATCTATCTATCTGTCTGTATATATGTAGACTGAATATGAAAGAATCTAAATCAAGTTAACATGTAGCAGAAAAGTGTGTGTGTGTGTGTGTGTGTGTGTGTGTGTGTGTGTGTGTGTGTGTGTGTGTGTGTGTGTGTGTGTGTGTGTAGCAGAAAACTACAAAAACCGCAACGAGGACTAAAGGTATGTATGTTTTCCTGTGACGTCGGGTTCAATCAACCAAGGCGATAATTTATAGCAATGAACAAGACTTGGAGGAACCAAACATTCAAATTAAATTATTTTTGCAAAAAACATGCGTCTACGTGTAGGAGAAAAGTAAACTATTCATTCTTTGTAAGTACTATTTGAGAATGTAAATATAGAATAATAATGATAATAATGATAATCATATATAAGGGGGATATATGTGCGATAAACAGCATTTCTCTCGTTATATCCCATAAACCTTAATTTCTTCAAATCTTGCGTTTAAAAAGAAGCGATTTACTCATTATGAATATAGTTTGTTTCCCCGCTTCTTGTTATATCATATCAATGGAAATTAGAAAAATATAGATATAAAATATAAGTAACTACATATAATATGTAAAATAAACTATATACGTCCTGTACACATGCATATCACAATTATACACGTGTCTAGATTGTGACCCTATTATTTTATATTCCCAATTTCTAAAAAAATTCCCTTCCAATTTCTATAAGAGAATATACAGTATGTGGAAGAAATGCCCAACACATACAGACCTGCTTCCTTCCCTCAGCAGACGAAGAGAGTGTCTGCGACCAACGAACGATAACCAGTCTTCATGGACTGACAATGATCAATCTCCGTTTGTTGCTCTTCCAGTTAACTACATTTCATATACAGACATGCTCGTACACACAAAAGCTCTCTGTTTTGGTTGTATTCACCTTACCTTTCCTTTCCTGGAACATCCATCTTTTAATTATCGTTTTTTTTTTTTTTGTAATGTCCAAAGAGATATTTTACGATGCTTGTCCAAAAGACCAAGCAGCAGATCATTATTGTAAACATTTTTAGCTCCGTAAAGCAACAGCAGCAACGTAAAAACAACAGTTAGTAATTGAGCCATATGTCCAGCCCCTTAATTTAACAAATGTGATAGAGAAATTATATGAATGAGAATATTTTCACAATACAAGAGGTGTATTTGACCGGTTTCGAATATATCTTCGCCAGAAATACAAATGTAAGTTAAAATTAATACCAGATAGGTTCCACGCCTTCGACCCACGCGACAAAGCTACTGATTCTCTTAGTTTAACCAATAAGCTCTCACACTCATTAGAAATAAGGTTAAAAATATCATAAACCACATATGAATAATGAAATGGTAACGACAATAAAATAATCAATACTTTTCACAGGTAGTCTGCAACTTTTCCATTAAGTGTTATCTTGGGGAAGCGAAGGAAGGACCGAAGACAATATTTACTATTACATCGTCTGTGGTCTTTATAATGATGCTCGTTTCACTCTCTCCTGAAATGCGTTTTTTTATAGATTTTATTCTCAATGATTTGCATCGAAAATCGGTAA